CATTCCTGTATGCAAGTCGTACAACTCTATATCTGAACTTTTCTTGTATTCATGCATTTCTTTAGCTCCTAAATGTCTTGGAATTGGGGAGCTACAAATGTGTATCACATGGTGGATTAAAATTTAACGCTTATTTAGTCTTTTGCAAGAAATATTTGCCACTAAACGGCATTAGCAACTGGTAGTAGCATCTTTCACCCTTAATACCAATTTGAGTAAAGCGCATATATGGAAAAGACCTGAACTCATGTCACAAGGGAAAACACCAAAATATACTTTATAAATTTTAACAAGCTACCATGTATTTGACACGTATCTCAATTAATGTATAGGTAACAATTATGTCCTTGCTGATAGACATTGATTTCTATGATTTTAGGCAATAATGTTATTGGTATCATTTCAGATACTGGATTGGGAACTCAAGTGACTGGTTTTCTAGGGTCTACATTAACCACTGAAAGCAACATAAATCTCTCCATTGACTTCAATGGGCATTGGACTAGGAGTGCAACAAACCTCTTTGACTATGGTTATTATATATATATTGGCCATCCACTTGAATTATATTGTAAAGAGGTTAAACTAGAAATATTGCAGGATTATTGCAGTTCTGGGTGCTGCACTTCAAAAGGGATGTGGCCAGCCTGGAGAGTGTTCAGAGGAGGGCCACCCGCTTGGGGAGAGGGCAGCAGGCCAGGCCCTATGAGGAGAGACTGAGGGACCTGAACCTGTTCAGCCTCAGCAAGAGGAGACTGAGGGGAGGACCTGGTGGCTGCCTACAAACTCATCAGGGGAGATCAACAGCAAATAGGCAGAGCCCTTTTCTCCCCAGCACCACCTGGGGTGACAAGGAACAATGGTAATAAGCTGATGGAGAACAGGTTTAGGTTAGAGATCAGAAAGCAATATTTTACAGTTAGGGTGGCCAAAATTTGGAACCAACTTGCAGGCAAGTGGTCCTCACCCCTACCTTGGTCAAATTCAAGAGGAGGTTGGACGATCTCCTGTCTGGGGTCTTGTGAACCCAGCATTCATTCCTGCCTATAGCGGGGGGTCAGGCTAGATGATCTGTTCAGGTCCCTCCTGACCCTAGCTACTATGATACTATGATTAAACATAACTACTGCCTCACACACGGTGTCATCTGGGAAAAGAAACATTGGTGAGGAGACAGTGAGTGTTGAGCCATCTAGGATCCCCAAAACTATGTAAGAAAAAATTTTAAAAAATGTTCTTAGGGTGATGCCTTTTACAGGATGCACTGTGTAGTAGGGATTGAGTTAGGCAAGCTTTTGAATGTAAGACATTCTTTGTCAGGCCTGTATGACATCTAACATAATAGGGTCCCCATCTGGGTATTATAACATTACTAAAACAAACATGACCACCAGCATCAATGCACTGAAATTTAAAACTGTGTAGGTAGACATGTTGCATATAAGCACATTTGCAAAACAACAGGTATGTGTCGGGACCGAGGGCGGTCTAAGGCTATGGCCAGTAGCCCGGACCGTCAGGTGGGGTTTTTCCACGATGGAGTAGAGTTAGGCACAGAAGCGTATTGGTTTTACAAAGAAAGCTTTACTTACACTGCCGATGGTCACAGTGCAGGAAGGAAACTTGCTTGAGTTGCAGTTGCACACAAACAAACACAAGTGAGATCTCTTCCGAACCGAACCGAGATGAGTCGTCGATGTACGACTCTGCACGCTGAACACGGGGGATACGTCAAATTTTCCACTATAACGGGGAGTGGCTAGAAGCTGATCAGGCTCCTGTGTCCTCCTCCAAGACACACGCGGAGTTTGCTAGGCTCCACAGCGCACTCAGAGTTCCCCACGAGACGGTTGTGGAGTCCTCCAACTTGGGCGGAAACTGCTCTAACCTTTTATATGGCTAGCGAGCTAATTGCTAGCCGCCACGTAGGAATAATTTAGAATTGACCAATAGTGGGACACTAATTTGCATACGTGTGGCGGGAACTCTTTTGCACCGGGGATTTCTCTCTGCAGCTGAGAAATCCACCGTGCAAAGAAAGCTCCATGTGGCGGGAAAATTCCAATGTGCCGAGGCACTAAAAATCATTGGGTTATGACAGTATGTGGATAGATTTTATGCAAACAAGTATCTATTTTGACTTTTCCTAGCAAGAGCTGAACACACAAATTTTATAGACTTGTTTTTATTCCATTTTTTCTTTAAGTTTTCCAATGTCACTATTACTCACACATAGGGACTTACTTAAATCATGGTGAGACTAAACAGTTTTTGTGGGTTGGTCACAGCAAAAAGATCAAATTTTCAGACACTTCCTGGATGTGCTCTGCTGGCCCCAGGCCTCAGTGCTGATTAGAGAGGCCCCAGAGGGGGGAGGAGGGATGAGGGCACGGCTCCCATGTTCTCTGCTGCCCTCTGTGCCACCCTGCCTGCTGGCACCTTCCTTCCACCCTGTCCCCCTGTAGACTAGCCTGCAGCAGTGAGGATTGCTGGCTCCCACTGGGGAGCCAGCATTTTATTTTTATTTAGTTTGTTAAAGTTGTTTTCGCAGACAATCCCAGATTTTCCGCGATTTCTGCGGAGCTGTGAATTGAGTAGACCCCTACTCATATACTTTATTGCCATATGCATTTGATATTCTTCTGAGTTGCTTTAACTACTTTCATGTTTGATCTTTTTTAAAAACTAACAATAAACTTTGTTTACTTTAGTCTCTTCCATGGCTGCATTGCTCATGTTACTCTGTATACATGTATCTGCAATTTTGTGACATGATTTAGTTTATGGTCAGATGAGGTGTCAGTGGTGCTCTTCTCTAGTTAATGGTTATCTACCTGTTAGAACAGCTCTGGCTTTGTATGTCTAATAAACAGAGAGGCTGCGAAGACAAGGTGAAAGAGATTAAACATCTCCCTAACACCCATGATGTGTACTGTTTTTTCAGTTCCATCAAAACCATCTACGGTAAGAGTACTCAGAGACCAACATCCCTGAGATGTAAGGATGGAGGAGACCTGATCAAGGAAAGGGGAGCCATCAGTGCCTGTTGGAAGGAACATTTTGAAGACCTCAATTGAGACCACTGTTGACAAGAGTGTTCTCAACTTGATGGCAACCTCAGCCTTGAATTATCAACAAGGAGACCTTGTTCACCCTGAT